GCTTAGCTGTGATAAAAAGAGGAGTCGTAAGCCTCTTGCTTTAAGTGCCGTTAGAGGATGATAGTGTGCCATTCTGATTTTATTCAATAAACACCCTGCCACTTACCTCTCACATTAATATTAATATTTTAAGGTAAGTAATAAGTGTACTTGGTGTGTATCTTACCTCCGGGAGGAGGGATAACATTACATTTTCTCTGCTCAGCCACCAGAGAAAACATGTATAAATCTGCGTTTGGCCCAGCCACTTCCCCACTCCACTTTTATTTACAATTTTCAGCATGAATTATTCATTACCTCTCCCTTCATTTATAATGGCATCTAAAGGTAGTTGTTAGAAACGATTAAATTCAGTGAACAAGGTATGTCGATGCTAATAATATGGCTCTGGGCCACAGTGTAGGTAGCCGGTAGGTGTAGTCCAGGCGGGCTACACCTACCGGCTACCTACACTGACTTCCTACAAATAAATACCACTCACCTCTCTTCCTATAGTAAGACTACTTATATTTCAAGGTAAATAATGAGTGTACTTTGTGTATTTTAAAACTCTGGTATGCTTTAAATATCGTATATTAAGTATGAGATGGGGAGCAAGGGCTACCTACACCTGACTTCCTACAAATAAATACTACTCACCTCTCTCCCTACATTAAGATTACAAATACATTAAGATAAGTAATGAATGTATTGTGAATGTATTTTACTTAGTGTGTTTTTAATGCCTACTTCTATTACTAACTTAATATAATTTAGTGTAAACTTGTTATCTGGCATTTTTTGCATTTATAAATGGAAAAAATGGCATTCTGCTTTCCGGCGATGTCTGCTTTCCAGCGATAGCCTGGAACCTAACCCGCCGTATAAGTGGGGGCCCTACTGTACAGTGGAACCTCTACTTGCAAGTTTAATCTGTTCCATGACCTTGCTTGCAGAGTCAATTTTCCTCATTTAAATTAATTGAAATGCAATTAGTCCATTCCAGTGGAATTCTGTACTTCAATAATTTCGCTAATATCAACTCTATGGCTTATTTATCTATCTCACTTCATCTAATATGACATAATAAACAATATAAATAACATAGAAACTTGATATATACTCTAAAATGAACAAAAGATGTAATTCATGCAGTGGTATGGGCGGTGTCGGCGGTGGACGAGAGTTTGGAGACAGGACAAAATACTTCTTGAATAATTTCGCTAATATCATCTACATATATGGCTTATTTATCTATCACAGTTCATCTAATATAACATTAACATAGAAACCTGAATATACTCTACAATGAATAAAATGTCATTACGTAACAGGTGGAGGCGGCCACAACCACTCCCTCTTTGTTGTGGTAAACACTGCCATCTAGTGACAGCCTTTTGAAGCCATCTATTATTATAATTATTATTATGTAGTACATTATTATTATTTTTTTTATTAACACACTGGCCGATTCCCACCAAGGCAGGGTGGCCCGAAAAAGAAAAGCTTTCACCATCATTCACTCCATCACTGTCTTGCCAGAAGGGTGCTTTACACTACAGTTTTTAAACTGCAACATTAACACCCCTCCTTCAGAGTGCAGGCACTGTACTTCCCATCTCCAGGACTCAAGTCCGGCCTGCTGGTTTCCCTGAATCCCTTCATAAATGTTACTTTGCTCACACTCCAACAGCACGTCAAGTATTAAAAATCATTTGTCTCCATTCACTCCTATCAAACACGCTCACGCATGCCTGCTGGAAGTCCAAGCCCCTCGCACACAAAACCTCCTTTACCCCCCCCCCTCCAACCTTTCCTAGGCCGACCCCTACCCCCCTTCTTCCACTACAGACTGATACACTCTTGAAGTCATTCTGTTTGCTCCATTCTCTCTACATGTCCGAACCACCTCAACAACCCTTCCCCAGCCCCCTGGACAAAAAGTTTTGGTAATCCCGCACCTCCTCCTAACTTCCAAATTCTTCTGCATTATATTCACACCCCACATTGCCCTCAGACATGACATCTCCACTGCCTCCAGCCTTCTCCTCGCTGGGAACATTCATCACCCATGCTTCACATCCATATAAGAGCGTTGGTAAAACTATACTCTCATACATTCCCCTCTTTGCCTCCAAGGACAAAGTTTTTTGTCTCCACAGACTCCTAAGTGCACCACTCACCCTTTTCCCCTCATCAATTCTATGATTCACCTCATCTTTCATAGACACGTCCACTCCCAAATATCTGAATACATTCACCTCCTCCATACTCTCTCCCTCCAATCTGATATCGAATCTTTCATCACCTAATCTTTTTATCCTCATAACCTTACTCTTTCCTGTATTCACTTTTAATTTTCTTGTTTTGCATACCCTACCAAATTCATCCACCAACCTCTGCAACTTCTCTTCAGAATCTCCCAAGAGCACAGTGTCATCAGCAAAGAGCAACTGTGACAACTCCCACTTTATGTGTGATTCTTTATCTTTTAACTCCACGCCTCTTGCCAAGACCCTCGCCAACTTTTACTGGGAAATAATCTCCCTCTCTCCTACATACTCTAACTTGAGCCTCACTATCCTCGTAAAAACTCTTCACTGCTTTCAGTAACCTACCTCCTACACCTGCAACATCTGCCACATTGCCCCCCTAACCACCCTGTCATACGCCTTTTCCAAATCCATAAATGCCACAAAAACCTCTCTAGCCTTATCTAAATACTGTTCACTTGTATGTTTCACTGTAAACACCTGGTCCACACACCCCCTACCTTTCCTAAAGCCTCCTTGTTCATCTGCTATCCTATTCTCCGTCTTACTCTTAATTCTTTCAATAATAACTCTACCATACACTTTACCAGGTACACTCAACAAATTTATCCCCCTATAATTTTTGCACTCTCTTTTGTCCCCTTTGCTTTTATACAAAGGAACTATGCATGCTCTCTGCCAATCCCTAGGTACCTTACCCTCTTCCATACATTTATTAAATAATTGCTCCAACCACTCCAAAATTATATCCCCACCTGCTTTTAACATTTCTATCTTTATCCCATCAATCCCGGCTGCCTTACCCCCTTTCATTTTACCTACTGCCTCACGAACTTCCCCCACACTCACAACTGGCTCTTCCTCACTCCTACAAGATGTTATTTCTCCTTATACATATTATATTATTATTATAAATAATTTGTAATTTTTATTCACAAAAAATATAAGATTTACTGTTATGCCTTATTGCAATAATTGTATAAATAAATAAATATATTTCTTTGTAAAGGTTACAATGTGTAATTACAATTTTGATTTGCTAAGTACAAAGATAGCCACTATCATGCCAAGGCATTTCGGGGAAACTAATCCTAATACATAGCTAATTAAAACTAGGTAAGATAATAGTACATAGTAATTATACTTAAAACTAAACATGGAATAGTTGTTAGCTGTTTTACAATCTTATTTGAACTTAATAAATCTTATGTAAACTTGGTACAAAATCTAACTTACGAGTAATGGTGCAGGTGGTAATATTTTATAGAATGGCAAAATTAAAAGCCAGGAGGTTACATGATAAGACTAATTAGCAGATGTTTAGGGAGGTTTGGTTAATACATGTATTGAGAAACAAAATGATTTTATGGATTGGCAGAATTAAGAGCCTAGAGGTCACACGATAAAACTAGTTAGCAGATGTTTGGTTGATTTGGTTAATATTGTGAGGTAAGATGTTTTTTAGCAAAATCCTAAATTTATAAGCTGTCTGGGGATCCTCGACCTGTTCCGGTAGCGAGTTCCAGATCGTCGGGCCTTTTATGTGCATAGCGTTCTTGCATAGTGAGAGTCTGACTCGAGGGATGTTGAAAAGTGCCTTATGCCTTGTATTGTGACTGTGCATTCTGTTGTAACTGTCGAGGAGTAGTTTTAGGGAGGGTTTACAGTGGAGTTTAAAGTTCTGTATATGTAGTAGGCACAATAATAAGAGTGTATGTCTCGTATATTTAGCAAGTTGAGTCTTTTGAAAAATGGTGGGGTGTGCTGTCTAGCACAGGAGCTGGTTATCACCCGCACAGCAGCTTTTTGTTGGATTATTAACCCTTAAATGGTCCAAACGTATATATACGTTCACCTGCGCAGCGCCCAGAATATTTTGAAAAAAAAAAAATCTTTTTTTTATAGGAAAAAAGAGCATGTGGTACCCAGGCATCCCCAATTATTATTATTATTATAATCAAAAAGAAGCGCTAAGCCACAAGGACTATACAGCGGGCATCCCCAATGCCTGGGTACCACACACCCATTCTCTCATGTCTAGGCAACTCAGGCCTATTGTGCAATGTTGTGCTAATTTTACACCCTCAACACTCACTGTCTGTATCTTGTCAGCCATCCACCTTTTCAAGCTTTATATTTAAATGCATTTTAATTATTTCCTAATGACAGCTCTCATTGTGCAGTCAGTACTGGCTTCTTGCTGCATTGTTGTAGTGAGTCATACCTGAGCCTGTCAGGCTGATCCACAACAACAATGTTATGCCAGAACCTGAGATCACCCAAACTAACACATCATCTGTGCATGAGATGTAAATTCTAGGGGCAAGAGGTAAAACATAATAGGAAATGGCAAGCTATTTCGTGAGTTGTTGTTGTTCTTTCAGCAAACTGGCCATATCCCACCGAGGCAGGGTGGCCCAAAAGGAAAAATGAGAGTCCCCTTTTAAATTTAGTAATATATACAGGAGAAGGGGTTACTAGCCCCTTACTCCTGGCATTTTAGTCGCCTCTTATGACATGCATGGCTTACAGAGGAAGAATTCTGTTCCACTTTTCCATGGAGAGTTATGAGTTATGATTGCAATACATTTGGTATGCAGTCCTCAGCAAATAGCATTATTCATAATTTCTTAAGACAGTACATTGAAGTCCCCCCTGACACATGCACAGAGGCTGTTGTATAAAGTTTGTATGGTGTTGAATATTGGTGTGCTTGTGGGTTACTAGATGGGTTGTGTCCCTCTCTAGGCCTCCCATGCACGCAACCCCTGGGAACGCCGCTTCTGCTTCACGCTGCCTTTCCTCATGCGCGCTGCCTCCGCAACCCTGAGGGTCACCCCCTGGGGCGGCGGCAACCCGGACGCCTTCAGGCACATCATTCTCCAGGTAACGATGTGCTGATTCTTTCACCATACACACAGGTATTTTCTCCGTTTTTTTTTTTTTTTACTTCCTAGCCTGCAGTACTGCACACAGGTAGTGTAGCGCTTTTAATTTTGTTATGATATTCATGCCTGCTCTTCAGATATTAATCTTGACTATTAACTGACTAATACCTGGCTAACAAATGACTCAGCTGGGATACAGGTAATATTGCAAAGTATTTCATCTTCGTAAACAAATATGTGGCATATATGCAAGCACACAATGCACTAAAATTAGTACATAGTTATTTGTGTGGATGTTATCCATATCCACAGTCTCTGTCACTTTTAACTGCATACCAGCCCCATGGCTTTAGGAGGGGATAGAGGTAGACTAGGTATCAAGGGCCATGTACCAACTTAACAGTGCAGGGCAATGTGTCAACTGGCAGTGCAGGTGTCTAGGTATCCAACAAGGGCAATGTGTCAGCTTACAGTGCAGGTATCTATCAAGGGTAATGTCAACTTGCAGTGCAGGTGGAGAGGAAGATTTGTCCCCATTATCTGACTAGATAATTATTATATTTACTTACCCATGGTGAATGTTCTCTTGCTTATGTGTTACCTATTACAATATATTGCTCCATTTCTTTGAATTAAGCCTGAATGCCTTCCATCCCTTCCCCCCACATGCACTGTATAATCCCTATGGGTTTAGTGCTTCCCCATAATAACAACAGTTGGGTCATGACAATGATATTTCAGATTTTCAGTTTATTGAGGTCACAAAAGGGTAAAAAAATGTATGAAAACTTGAATGCTCATGTTGTTTCATATACAGTACTGTAACTCTTGACCTGATAGCTTGAACCATGAAACTAATCTGGGTCAAATAAATGCCAGCCAAATTGCCAAAAAAAAAAAAAAAAAATGAAAGGCCCAGTGACATGATCAAGAGTACAGGTTGCAAAACTTATTGTTGCTTAGTGACAAACTTGAACCCCCAGTTTGAATCCTCTGTAGCCCAACTGAAAAAAAAAAAGCTAAGCTATTCACCAGTTTTGATTTTAATCAGATCATGGTAGAGCGATTAGCATGTGAGCCTCCATATGCCAGTTTTGGTTTTGCAAGTTGTACTCTAGATTTAAATTCTTAATGTCACAATAGTGTGAACTTCAGAGATTGTCAAAGCTATTGACAGGTATTCAGGATCATGTTATAGTCGCCCCAAATGCCAAAGGAAATAATAGAAGAGTAGACTGAGATCGTAATGATCCTTCACATCCTACAAGGATATGGAGGATCATTATGAGGAACCTTGCAAGTCTCTTATGGTGATCACTAAGTTAATCCTGACACAGTCGTTAGCAGTATCTTGGCCTGGAAAGCCCCCCTTCACGTACCCTTCATTTCAGTTCTTATTTCACATCATAATGAAGTTCACATAAACACACACATGCACTTGTATGCTGGAGAGACTAGCTAGTTATTATTGAAGATAACACATTTAAACCCCAAACAACCACCTGACATATCTGCAGAAGTAAAGCTGTTGCAGGTCAGCCATCAGTAATCCAGCACTAATTTCTGCTAGCATAATTTCAAATTTTGTCATTATACTGACTCAGAAATTGTGCAGATGGCTGTAAATCCACAGCAGCAAGACAGTGGAGGAGAAAGCAGTAATGAAAATGAGGAAGATGTAGCAGAAAGTCTCTATTGATAGGTTACTTAAGTGTATTTTAACCTAACCACTCTGTAATCTGGCAAACTCACTAATCTGGCACACTACAGGTCCCAGTGATGCTGGATTAGTGATGGCCGACCTGTATATGTTGTGGGTGTGGAAAAACTTTGGATGTTTATGACCTACCCATCTGCCTTCCTCCTAATTCTGATGTAACCATATTCCTTGCTTCCATACTCTTTCTCTGTCCCTATTCTTTCTGAGTTTTCAACCCTCCATGTGGCACTGGACATTAAACTATAGGTTCACTGTCTGTCTAGCCTATGAACCACGAGTTTTTCATGCCACTTTTCTGTTGTTTAGGGCAGTGATGAATCTCTCACTTCTCAGCACTTAAAAGAAACGATGTACATATGAACTTGACACTCCACTGTGTTACCTCTGTGTGTTACTGTGCTGAACCTTGTCATGTCTTCATAGTCTCTTATATACTCCTGTGAGAGTACTTTTAATTACCAATTTGTAGTTATAGGAGCTGAGCTGTCCTTCTCTCTCTAGTATTTTAAATAATTTTTTGGTAATTTCCAGTGGTAGTAGTTTTTAATACTGCCTCTTGGATCATTGCAATTTTCTGAGAAAAATTAAAGTTTTATTTATTTTATTACTTATTTTCACAGTTTATAACTGTTGCTTCTTTGATCACCTGATGGTATCTTCTTTATCTGTTTTCTTGCATCCTTTTATGACATTATACATAGTTAATTTATTCTCTGTCAGCAAACTAGGTAAGTTTCAATGCTTTAACCCTCTATTCTAACAAATATTTCTGAAGGTTATTTTTAAATGTGCAATTATAGATGTGGGAGACATTTTGCGCCCTGTCTTTGGGTTGTCTCTAATTTTATCTTCATATTTTTCAGTGCAGACACCACTCATACACGATTATGCTTGCAGGCATCAAGCTCCAGCTCCAGGTTACACCTCTTAACTTTGAATATTGTTATACCTTCCTTTGAATCCATGTATCAAGTTTGTTTCTACTCCACTACATCTTTTACTTGCTGCTTCATCATCCTTTACCTCTGATGCATGGAATCAGTTCATTTTCACCTCTGGGCTCATATGAGTATTTAGTTTTTTAATGTTTCTCATTCTAATTCCTCCTGTGTCGGTTTACATTTGTCTACTGTGTTATGGGGAAGCCCTAAACTCATAAGGGCTACACAGCACCTTGGGAATGAGAGGCAACCAGGTTTGATTCAAGGAAGAGAATAGCTGTAGTGTATTCTATCCATACTGCTGAGTATCTTCTGTGATATGATCATTTTTGCTCCTAATTGCTTGTGCACCTGGGTTCATAGGCTTACACTTGCCTATTGTTTTAGGTCAAAAAAAGTTCTGAAACAATTGGAGAAATACAGCACTGAAATTCTGACAAATTACATAATATATTAGGCATTTATATCAAAGATTTTTTCTTCTTTTGTCCATGGAGAAAGGTTGAACTAATAAATTGTATTTATAGGGGTCAAGCTCTAGCTCTCTGACCCTGCCTCTTAAGCATTAATTGACCATATGAGGGGTCATGAATGTAGCCCCTGAATAGGATAACTAAATAATACCATATTTTGCCACTAGCATCAACATAAATGAAATTATATCTATAAGAATATTAATTAAAAGTAATGTCAAAAACATCATTGAGGTTAATATTGCAATGCTAGGTAATTAGACACTATTGTAACCCTACATAATAATTATAAAGTACAGTAATGCAACACTGGGTACTAATTTTCCCCCACCTTTTGTACACTGTACTTCAGTAGTACAGACTTAAACTACTTTAAGAGAGGGATGATAAATGACAGCTTAAGGGAGGGATGATAAATGACACTAGCTTACAAGATGGATAATGGTACTAGCCTGCAAGACGGATGATAAATGACACTAGCTTCCAAGAAGGATGATACTTTTGATGAGTTTCAAGAGTCATTTTGATGGTTCTTGGCAGTCAGTGTAGGCCAAGGTAAGTGCAGGTAAGGGTGAATAAAATTTTGTATTACCATATATTGTACCAATATGAACTATGCACATTACTCTCAAGTACAATAGTACATTTTTTACATGTAGTTATTTGTGCTATTACACATATTATTGTAGTGTGAGTGTACCAACATGGTACCATGTGTGGGCTAAGTGTACCAATATGGTTTCTTATATGGAGTGAGCATGTCTGTATGGTACTGATGGGTGGGCATAATTTACCACTGTGATACTGCTTTGGCAGTGTGTACCAATGTAGCACCTTGTGTAGGCTGTAAGTATTTATAGAGTTGAGTAGGATGGATGAGTGTTGCAATATGGCACCAATGATGTGTCTCTCAGTCTGGTGCCTTATATTTTATGATAGTAACTGTGTGACAGTAATGGTTGCTTTGGTTACCTGTGATGAGGTGAACAATACACGAGACACAGGGTGAACAATATGCAAAACACAGTGAACAAGACAAAATGAACAATACACGAGATGAGGTGACCAGTATATAAGGTAGCAGTGTGTTCATTCAGCCTGCCCTCTGGTACTGTTTGTTGTATATATGTCAGCATTGTCATATGCTGGTGTTATCATAATCTTAGAAAGTATCACAGGCAGAGTTATTCAGATAATAAAGTACAGAGAGCAAGAGTTACCAGGATGAGAGTGTAAAGAGAGCAAGGAGTACCCAGATATAAGTGCAAGGATAGCAAGAGTTGCTTAGACAAAAGAGTAAGGTTGTCCAGTTAAGAGAGTAAGAGTCTGTGCATGTAATAGATGCATTGCAAGTAGAGTCTATAGTATGTGGAATGTGTGGATACTGGACATAATAAATTTTAAAAAGTCTTTGCTGCAAATTCAACTTTAATCCTTATAGCATACCTAGTTTCTTATACCTAGATACACTGTTATATATCATGGTGCATCATTTTGGTCACAAATGGTGTATGTTTGACAGTATTATTATAGAACATTTTCAGCACTTTCATTATAGCATGTTTGTATGGGCACATGTGGGTCAGTGCCAACTACAGTGTGAATCGTAGCAGCGATGCACAGTATGCACACACATTGTATACAAAACATTTGATTTTACAGGAATATAGTGGCAAAAGTTTCATTTTCAGAATTGGTTAAGACGATACCTACAAGTATTTATGCATTCAAGTATAGTACAGTACTGTATATCATCATAACATTCAACATAATTCTAAATGAAACAAAGTGAAGATTATGTATAAATTACATTTTGAATAATATCAGTGTAATATGTGGGTGGTAGGGATATGATTAAGTATTT